TTTTTTTGTTTTTATAATTTGATACTCTCTTAATTGATTACATGAGGCTGAGCCTCTTATTTATACTTTGGTAAAACCCTAGTTCCCTTGACACATGTCATCACCTTGTAGAGGGCTAAGAGCATCAAATCTGTTCCTTGTCTCTATCACATTGATCGTACTGTTTCCTGAAACTTCTTCTGCAATTTGTTTGTTTTTGTCTTTTGTCAATTGCAGAGATTGCAGAGATTGCAGAGGTTGCAGAGATGACCGTTGAATGGTGGGCTTGGTAGGCTGAATCATTTGAGTGTTGTTGGGCTTGTTGTTGGGCTTGTCGTCTTGATTTGTAACATTGGTTTTAGAAATCGATTCACGCTTCTCCTTTATACACATATGCCTCATCATTAATATCCTCAATTTTTCTTTCCTTTTTATAGGATTCATGAATTTTAACAATAATAGGTAACTTCATAATCCATAATAATAATAGACATAAATGTTAAAACGCTTAGTTTCCGACCAAAAAACTTCGATAAATTTATTTTTTCTCGGAAATTTGACGGGATATAACATTTTCAACAAAAAAAATTACTGACATTATTATCGGTAATTACCATATTTTCTTGTGTTGTAAACTTACCACACTCTATTATCATCATCTTTAATATTGATCACGTGTCTACCATCTTAAATTTCGAAGCATCTTTGAGTTAAATTTTCATCACATATAGCTTTCAAACAAATATATCAAAAATCAAAATCGTTTACATTTGTCGGTCTATTTAAAAATCTTGAATAATGTTTTTATTTTCTGAAGTTTCCCTTTCTAAATCGACAATACATTGAATGATTAGAAGTTAATTAAGACACTGGATTAATTTGGACCCACCCATTTTCCCCTTTACCAATTATTGTTGACTCACGAAATTAACACTATTCATATTAAAAAAAAAAAAGAATTAAATATAGTTTCTGACAAAAGAGAGTACATACAACAACATCGTAGGACATGATGACACAGTCGGAACCGGTTTCAGATTTCAATAATCGGAAACCGATTATATGGTTTTGGTCCAAATCCTAAAAAGAAAGAGCACGTTAGTCCCATGTGAGCTTGGTCTGTCCACAACCCTCCTCCTGCATTGTGCATTCATGGCTCTCATCAATCACATATAGCGCCACTAGTTTCTAGAAGCTGTTTCTAATTTTTGCTCCATTTTGTTAACACAAGCGTAATCACATAATTAGAAAGTGAAAACAAAACACAACTTGGTACAGAAACAAAAACCAAACCTACTTGTTCACTATACTGTATTAACAAGTCTTACAAGTTGTAAACCAATCGTTTTTATACAACACTATACGCAATTAGTTTGCTTGATACCATAGTTTCTAGTCTCACTTCAATACCTAAAGCTCACACTCGACCTTGTGACACACGAAATTGTGCAGTCACATCTCTCATGCACACTATTCGTAAAGCCTTTGACACCTTTAATAGATAAGCTCTTCAATGTCCGGCACACACACAAAGAGAACCCCCATGATCCTATTTAATTATAATCCATTATCGATATTTATTACATGTTTATTACTAAAAAAACGTATGATTTTTTGTTTTATAAATGTCATATTAATAAATTTATACGTCTACTTATTTTTATCTATATAGCTTTCTAGCAAACTTGCATGTTGTAGTTTCCTATAGTATAGACATCCATATTTCTGAGTGTACAGAGTATTTGACATCACTCGTTTTAGTTGTACATAAATAATGTCTTATGTGAGTTAGACCATAAGCTACCAAGATTCAAAAAGACCTAAAAAGTCCAAAAGAATACAGTTTAATTGCTTAAATAAATGCATGGATCTACCTATTTTGTAATTGTAAGTACTAATAAGTACCCTATCTTAAGATAGATGTTTAACTACGTACTTATAATATTTTGCAATAGACTAGCCATATTAAGTACTCTAGGAATCGAATTCGGTTCATTCTTTAATCAAATATTAATCAACCACATGAAATCTCAATCGTGGATGATTAGTACTATACGTCCTTAATACGTACGCAAAACGCGATGGCTTAGCTTTGACAAGAGAGGAGATCGAAAACAACTATGCATATATAAAACTACATGAAAATGCAAATTCTAATTATTGATAAATACAAATGATTAGACCAATATTCTGATACTGAATAATAGAATGTTAAACTCTGTTCATACATTAGTCGTAGCAACGAACTATAATGTATATATTAATACATAGTATGGACACATTATATAGATAGGAGAATAGATAAGAGCCCTGAAAATATGGTGACATAGAAAATAAAAGAGGAGAGAGTCACATGGCCTTTTCTGAAGCCATGTGCTGATCATGATGATAGCTTTTCTATTAATCATTTTTTTAATCTCATGTCGCTATTGACATTTCTAACCATGAATTCTATTTTTCTTCTTCTCCCCACTCTTAAGTATAATACTAGTGTTGACAAAAGATATAAATAATGAAACTTGTAAAAACAGGATTTATAAAAGCAGCTATTTGGGTTCTTGTGAGTGTCTGTCTAATGGAGTAATGAGTAATGACTTGTGTTGTTGCCCACTTTGTTAGGTTATCAAAAAAGTCAACATTTTAATTAGTTCTTATCACTATTTGATTTATCTCTACTTGATAATCATTATGTTATGTACAGTAATTAAATGTGTACCCAAATCCCCATGACCCATTAGCTTTTTAAGTTTTACACTCCACAAAACTTTTTCTTGGGAGATAATTTTCATTGTCCTTTCCTTGGTAGTTTTACAAATCACGGGATTGGCAAATTGAAATGACACTTGGGGTTCCCGTGGGAGTTTATATGTTATTTCAGTTTCTAATGCTAAAAGTTGATTTCATATGTGATCAATAAAAGAAAGCTTAGACAGTTTTAAAAAAAAAAGCAGCAATTAGGGGAATTTTGATTTACATATAAGTATATTTAAGGAAATGTCAAACCTCCCAATGATTGGATCATGTGATAATGTATGAGGATCAATACACAAGTTATAGTCACCCACTCTAATGATTAATCTTTGTAATGTTGTATTAAGTAATGTCAATGATACTAATTAGTAATTTACATAGATTGCTATGATGATTAATATCTAAATTCATTAGATAATCGATCGTTTTACCTTTTATAACGAGTTTTCATAATTGTATAGATAAGTGTGATGATTATTCATATTGAAACACAATTTATGTATATAATTGGAAACATAAAATAATAATATTGTTTCTTTCTAAAGAATCTATTTGTAACATTTATATGTTTTTGTAATTATAATTGCGCAAACATCTCGGCGGTAGCAATATTTATTTTGTATTCAGTACGTATAATCTTATTTTGTGTTCTTGTTTTTCTGTATATCTTGTTAATGGTTTCATACTTTCATGTATATTATGTGTTCAATGCACAAAAAAATTGTGGAGCAGAAATGTCATAAGAAACATTTAAGTGTTTCTTGTTCGATCATTGATCAATCTAACAAAAGAAATTAACCATAACCATCATTTTTTGGTGTTCTTCTTCTTCGTGAATCTCTATAAAGTATAAACAAAGTTTTCATTTAGGGTTGTTATGGAAATGAAGAAACGATTTGATGAAGTAAAAACTTCAATCTTTATATTCTCCTATACGTTTTCCACAAAAGCTCTTAGGCGTCTTCTGCGTAATAGACACATTGATACAAGTCCACTTGTAACGAAGCCCAACTCCCATACTTCATTTATTACTTCAGTTGAACCAAAGATGGCAACATATTTATCTAAATGTATGTTATTTATAATAGACGCATACAATTTTATTATTATTATTGGGCCGAAGAGTTCTAACTGAAGCCCATTGAAATTACAAAGACAAATTTTAAAAGAAACAAAATATTACAGCAGATTGATTCACATATTTCATTTTGACAATGGAGGAGAAACACTTACCAAAGGGAGGAGATTACGATGGTGATTTTCTCTTAGATTATATCAAAAATAGATAGGTGATGAGCCTGCGACGGTGAAATATATAACATAAAACAAAACTATTTTTTTTTATTGAACTAAAATAACATCATTAGAAATAACTCACCAATATATTCGGTGACTAAAATGCGATAATACTTAACAAACACTTTTCAATGATTAAATCATCTAACCATAACCTAATCATATATGTTTGAATAGCTAGAAACACTTACCAATGGAGGAGATCATGATGGCGATATTTCCCAAATTCTTATTGTCAAACAAAAAATGGATTCCTTGATCCGCAGAGTGCGTTCCGAACCGAAAAATCTTTATGTAAACAATATTCATCGTTCTTGCCTTGTTTAAGTGTTTAAATTAATTGTGTAAAAAAAAGTGAAGCTGCTATACCGAAAATAAAACGGTTTCGTATTAAATCTTTTCAATATAAGCAAATATACCACATAAATTAGATTAATGTTTTTCACTAAGCTATACTATTTAAAAATAAGAAATTAGGCTTTAAAACTATTTCATTTTGTTTGTTTTTCATTCAATCTCTAAAAGTTAGTTTCATTTATTAGAAAAAAAAAACTCTATAATTATTTCATCTTAATATCATACATTTCAATTTATCCAAAATCTATTTTGTAACAATGCACCTCAAATAAAATTGTAACAATTATTTTTTCTACAGTAATTAAGTTACAGTGAATTAAACCTCTGAAGTCTTAAGTTTTTTTTTGTTTCCTTTCTGTTTTTTTTTAAATATTTTTGTGAAGGAGTTTATATAAAATATATTATTGCAATATACAAAAGTCATTTGTTGTTATCCAATTATATTATAACGTTAATGATGACATAAAAATAAAATTAAGAAACGAAGTGATAAGAAAAAGAGAGTAAGGTATTGAAATCTGTGGCTCATAACTCACCAAAATCTCCAACTCCCTTGTGATTGGATAAGAGAAGTATCGAGAAGCTTTCATTTCCATTGGTCCTCCTCTCTCCTTCTATAATCCCAAAACACCATCTCACATACTCTCCTCAAGCCTCTCATCTCATCTCATCTCCAAGCCTCTCCGATCATCAGAGCAGAACAGAGCCAAGACAATGGCAGCAACCATGGCGACATCAGCCACGTGCATGTCCCTAAACCCATCTCCTCCTAAACTCCAAAACCAAACCAAACCCAAACCATTCATCTCCCTCCCAAACCCAACAAAACCCAACGTATCTCTCGCCGTCTCAAGCACTGCCCTAGCAGGAGCCGTCTTCTCATCCCTCAGCTACTCTGAGCCAGCCTTAGCCATCCATCAGATCGCCCAGCTCGCTGCTGCTGACGCTGCTAGCGACAACCGTGGCATAGCTCTTCTCCTCCCCATCGTCCCAGCCATTGCATGGGTCCTCTACAACATTCTCCAGCCAGCTCTTAACCAGATCAACAAGATGCGTGAGAGCAAAGGTATCGTCGTTGGTCTAGGTATTGGTGGTGGTCTTGCAGCGTCAGGGCTCTTGACTCCACCTCCAGAGGCTTACGCGGCGGCTGAAGCGGCTGCAGCAGGTTCAGACAGCAGAGGACAGTTGTTGTTGATTGTTGTGACACCAGCTCTGCTTTGGGTTCTTTACAACATATTGCAGCCAGCTTTGAACCAACTCAACAAGATGAGGTCTGGGGACTAAATCTTTTACATATATATATATAAAACTATTATTAATCATCTTTGGGATTCAAAATGTAAAATTAATCCTCTGTTTCATGGACAGTTTTATGCTTAAATTTTGGACTAATATCGTTTCATTCATCGCCTAAGTATAGTATACTACAATTTTAACTGTAAACTAGGTTGCATTTATCCTACATGAATTCGTAACACAATCTTTATTAAAATCTGAATACTTACAACTACAAGTGCCAAATACAAATAGAGGGAGAGAATGTGACTGCCCCATATGTATATAGTTTAGCTTGATGATTTTTTGAACGGAGATCCTTAGTCTAGTGCCATAGCTTAAGCTTCTATGAGACTTGGAATTGGTATGAATGATGATGCATAGTTTTCTCATTTCTATTGTGCAATCCCCATCCAATTTCGGCTTCTTGATTGGAGCTATCCAAAGAGTTGGCCCTAGTTTTGTGGGTTTCTTCTCATCAGACTTCTTTGTACAGCTATGTCATTACTCATGTCATGTGCTTCCTTTCATTTAGATTGCCTTATTCATATTTCATAACATGAAGCATTTCAAAGCTCGTTTCCTTGACAGTATCCGAAGCATTTCATTCGCTTCCTGAAAACAATATTTTCTTCGTCTTTAATGTTCACAAATCCCACATTGGTCACAGGTTTCCCTTAGCTCGACCTAGTACTTTCTTTCCACAAATTCATTGGACAATCTTTTTGTTTTCAGACCAGTAACATTGTATGTCCTCAGATAATAATGCGCATATGGGACTGGTACTTTAAAACTTGGTATTCGAAATAACATGGTATGTTTTGATACCTTTTACCTGACTCGAAAGCTACCATAAATATTTTTCGAAACGGAGACAAATCGGATATCTAATCGAAGACGGTCAAGGACACTGAATCCAACATTAGAGTATTAATGCATTGATGTCTATAACAAACTAAACTGTGCAATACCAATGGCCACATGGGTTGGTTGCCTAAAGTATCACTGAACTACAGTACTGATACCTGTCAACGTGACATAACGTCTGTTTTGTTTTGAGTTAAAAACTACCAATCTTACCGTTGACCCTGAAGAGACGCAAACCAAAAGCAAAACACATTCAAATGCTCACAGATGCATCATTGCTTAAATCATATAAATAAACAGAGAGGATATAAATTATTCTGTGTAATTAACCTTAAAATAAAGAAACTTGGAAAACTAAAGCGTACAAGTCTTACAAAGATTCAGAAACAGTAGCTTTATCAAGAAACCAACAACTTCATAAGAAGAAATTTTTAAGTAACTTTAAAGCTTAGTGTTTTATTCTTTTTTCATGGAGTCTTTTTGGAGGCCCTTCTTCCGGATCTGGAGGCACCTCTTAATGTTAAACGATTCAAAAACGCTTTCGGGCAATACAGATATAACTGCACCCATGAGAGCGTGAGGCCAGTACGGTGTGCATTGTGCTTCATAGCCTACAAAACGCAGTGCTGCCTTTGCGTAACCCTCTGGTGATGCAACTAAGAAGGATGCTCTTCTTATTTTTGTCATCTTTGTGGCAACATACAAGGGAACCTATGAAAACAATCACCCAATTAGTCATATCATCAAGACTTCTAAAATCTGTTGAGTAGTGTGATCCATTAAGTTGTTTTGGTAATATACAAACTCCACACTCAGTTATAACATGCATGGAAAGCGACAGTGATCGATTATAATTTTTGGCAAATAGGGATTGTACATCTGAAAAATGGTCACAACACAGATTTCCCAATTTCTAGTGTTGACATTCTTTTACATAAACGGCCTATACAAACAATCAGAAACAAGACTTCACATCATAGAAATATTCATCAAAGAGATATGTGATACAATAGTTCCTCATTTGCAAATCTAGTAAACTAACAAAAATCATCAACCTTCTAGGTCCACTAAATCAACAGAAACAGAGTCAGGAAACCATGAAAGAATCACATCTTCTAAGGATTCAGGACACAACGTTTTACTCATTTTCCTATCTAGATTATCAGACAAACTTATGCCACAACTTCAAATGAGGCAAAATATAAACTTTGATAAGCCAAGAACTAGTATCCTACAATGATAAGATTCGTTTTACTCATATCTTCATCCTATTCGGTTTAACACTTTCCAACCAAATATAACGCAAAATCATGTTCCAAAAAAAAAAACAAAATGATTCAGAAAAGTTCACCTGGCATTGAACATCAATCCCACTCTTCTTGTACTCAACATTTAGACACTTTGTGAATTGATCCACGTACCTGAAGGAACAAGACAAACAAACAACATTACTAATTTAAACCACACAAAGCATCAGCTCAAACAAACATCACAGCACAAGACAAGAAGATTCCTTACGTTTTAGCGCCAGCATAAACAGAGTAGAAAGGATAAGAAGGAATAAGAGCAGCAGCACCAGAACCCATATTAACAATAGCACCACGCTTCCTCGCTAGCATATTAGGCAACACAGCTTGAGTAACTTTAGTAGTCCCTTCAACATTGATCTTAATCAAGTTATTAATCAACTCATCATCAACCTCATGAAAGTACTTAGCATAAGGATACGAAATCCCAGCGTTGTTCATCAAAATCCCAACATCTAACCCTTCAATCGTCTCCTTAATCCGTTTCACACCTTCATCAATATCTCCAGAGAAATCCATCACCACAGTCAAGATCTGGGTTTGACTGTACTTAGATCTGATCGCTTCAGAGACATCTTTGAGCTTCTGGGGATTACGAGCAACGAGTATGAGGTTAAAACCTTTCTGGGCTAACTGAAAGGCGAAAGCTTTACCGATTCCATCGGTTGGTCCGGTGATGAGTGCCCATGAACCATATCGGCGTAGATTCTTGCCGGGTCTGAGGAAGTAGATGTAGAAAGATCTGAGGAGAGTGAAGATGAATTTGAAAATGGAGATTGACCCAAGAGCGAAGAGGACAAGGAGCCAAGTGGGTTGGGATTTGAAGTAAGTACAGATCTCCATGAGGAAGGAAAGATTGAGAATTTGGGAAGTGGGATGAGGAAAGCTAGGGTTTTTAATGAGAGGAGGAAGAGAAGTATTGAATTTGGGCGGAAGGGACGAAGGTGGGTAGAAGTAGATGAGCAGAAAACCACCGGAATTAACTACTCTCTCTGTTTCTTCTTTCTCTCTCTCTCTCTCTCTCTCTCACCTCTACTCTTTTATTTAATTTTGTTGTCTTCCTCAACAAAATAAGGTTTCATGTGATGTGAGTATGGAAGTTGGCACCTTTGATGTTGATAGATGTACATTTACATACCAAAAAATTATAAATCGAAGCGCACATGATGATGAGCTTTCAGTACAACACAAGGTTTCATATAGTGAAAGTGGAATGGAAAGTTAAAAAATAGAATGCAGTAGGTTATATGAATTTTTGTGACAAATGGTTGATGAAGAATGATGCATTTTGTATCATCTGTTTTGAATCTTTTGACAATTGGCTGTTCCTTACATAACACATGCAAGCAACTTTTGAAATTTGTCAATCTTCATCAGCATAGGAGACAGATTGCAAAACATCTACTCTATTCCTACGTTATACGTACATGTTATGTAGTAGTTGTTACGGAAAACATTTTAAAATATTCGGAAACTTGTGGAAGTTTCATCATTTCACAAATTGCAGAAAACTTCCTCAAGTTTAAATAATCCGGAGAGGTTTATTTGAACAATTAATTTATGGTTTTTGTGCTATCTACTTAATCACCCATATTCTTCTTTTTTTGTCAACTAACATCATCTACAGTGTAATGTCAGAAGTGTGTAGAAATACACTACATTACATACACTCATTTATACGTATATTATGTATTCATTTATGTGACGATGGTAGAAGTCCAAAGTGTATAAATAAACATGAGCGCTCGAGCTTCAAGAGGACTCACCTAGCAGCTGGAGCTAGGCTGTTTCTTGAGATGTCAGGGCTCTCTATCTCCAGGAAGCTGGTGAGCAAGGTCTTGCGAGATGATTGTGCCTTTGAGCCGCTTGAACTCGATGATTTAAACCCAATGTCGTTTCCTCTCTCGATCCTGACCGCGTCTTGTATGGCCACTATCACTTCCTGCATACTTGGCCTGCTATGTCCACGCTGCTCAACGCACTGGTTTGCGACCTCAGCAACTCTCCAAATTGACTCGATTTTCACATTGCCTGCTATACATGGATCTATGATCCCACACACGTCTCCTTTACGGATCAGTGATCTTGCCTGTTGGTAAACAAGAAAAGCAAAGGAATAGAGATTTGTGGTTTGTGAATCTTGTCAAGCAGTACTTTAAACTGTTAAAGGTGAAAACTTTCGAATGGACAGGCGATGTAGAGGTGCTTACCCAGTGAACTATATTCAGTTCAGGACCAAAATCTTCCACTGAGACTGGTTTCTTTCCAGAGAGTAATTCAAAGAGAACAACCCCAAAACTGTAGACATCACTCTTCTCAGTCAGCTGTTGACTAGCATAATACCTGTCGAAATAATGCAGTATCAGTCAAAGATCATAAAAGGGAAGACTTAAATTTTTGTGAGGTTGTGTTGTTGGCCTTACTCTGGATCAAGGTATCCAACCGTCCCTTTTGCAACACTGGATACGTGAGTCAAGTCTTCCTCTGTCTGTCTCGAGAGTCCAAAGTCAGAAACTTTGGCTCTCATGTTAATGTCCAGGAGAATATTGCTTGATTTCACATCCCTGTGAATGATGCTAGGATTGCAGCCAGTGTGCAAGTATTCAAGACCTGTAATAATCTGAAGTTTCGTCTGTCCTATGGTTCATATTGTAGCCACACTAAAGATATAATCTTGAATTTATATTACAAACCTTTAGCAGCGTCTTGTGCAATTTGTAGCCGAGTTGGCCAGTCTAATGGCTTGTAGTCGCTTGAACCTGTCATAGAATTGATTCCTGAGTCATTCACAGAATGAATAGCCCAAAATAGGCAGGAAGAATAATATCTCACTAAGTTGGTATTAACCGTGTAAGTGATCTCCCAAGCTTCCATTGTGCATATATTCGTAAACCAAAATACGCCGATCTGCTTCTTCACAATATCCAATCAAAGGAACCAAGTTCCTGTGGTGAATT